TTTTTTTTATAGACATTTTTGCTATAGGGCACATGTGCTCGCTAGAGAGACAGAGAGACAGAAAGCAAGAAATCACCCCTTGGAGGGATGGCCATGCCACAATCCCTTCTGCATTATCTTCTTGAGATTTAGGGCATGCATGCACATGTGCAAAGCATGAGTTTTCAGCCACTGGGTCCGGGATTCAAACCACAGTCAACTACCTAAGAGTCCAGCGATGTACGCATTACACCATCTGCTGGTCCCAAACACTGACAACTTTTCTTAATCATTTACTTTAGCCATCGCTGACAGATGGTTCATCAGTCAGCAAATCATCTAGGGCAGGGTTTTTTTGTTTGTTTGTTTTTGGCTAATGCCCACTTAAGAGCACCTGCCTACTCTAGACCTATTCTCAGACACAGAAAAGTGAAAATTTGACTACTAGTTGGCTTAAAAGTGTTGAATGATTGGGGATATTGAATCTGATAGTCTAGGGTTATGAAAGTTCCTAATCACTGCAATTCATCACTTTAAAACATGCTTGTTTTTGTATTTAATATCCCTAAGTATACTTCATAAAATTGACAGATCGTAATTCGATGCAATGTTTTCTTTCTTTCTTTCTTAACTGTACAGAAAACAACAATGCATCTTAAATAGACAGCCCTTTAAAGGGAAAGAAACCCGGGGTATCTGTACCAAGGGCGAGCTTTAACTGTGTCCAGAAGTTGGTAATCGTATGCAAATGATAAAGAGGACCTCCCCACACACCCCACAGGCAGGCTGGGACTGGGGACCACAGCACAGCTGCCACACCTTAAGGGTCAGAACCAAAACACTAACTGTTGCTAGGTGAGAATGTGGGCCAAGGAAGCCAGGATTTTACCATTTTCATGAAATTTTCAAGCTTTAACCACTATAGAGGGCCAGCTGGTGGCCTGGTGGTTAAGGCGACTGGATCCCACATGGCCGACTGTGCAGCTAAGTCCCAGACCTGGCTGAAACCCCAAAAGGAGGGAGAAATGGTGAAGGGACATGTCCATGCCCCATGGGGGGAGTGCTTTCTCTCCCTCCCTCTTCTTCCTGTCCCTCTCTCCAGAGAGTGTACATGTCCTCTCTCAAACTAAAAAAAAGAAAAAGACACACTATGGAAAACCACCCTAAGGTCCACCTCAATTCTGGCCCAGGGACCGCTGCTTAGAACCTGCGCTGCTTATCTCTAGCTTATGTTACCTTGAATAACCTAGCTATGAAGACTTCTCTGAAGACACTTGGAGGAAAGGGAGGATTACTCAGGGTGGTTAATAACTAGGGCTCTGGAGTGAACAGACCCGGCTCCATGACACCCTGTGTGCCCTTCCGCAGGTCACCCAAGTGCTCTGAGCGCCCGCCATTCCTCATTGGAAACCGTGGCATGTCTCAGAGTGTCCGTGCAAGGAGGAAATGGGATGGCGTGGCATCAGGGTACAGCACAGTACATGGAGAGGAGGCAGCAGAAACCACCAACTCTCCTGGTTTGGATGGAATAAGGAAAGATGTCTAAGTACCACCTCATGTCAGCCTGGCCTGCATTTCTATGCCAGTTGCCTCATTCTAACTACCAAAAAAAAACATTTCAAATGTCATGTTTGATTTATAAGAAGGCTGTCACTCAAACTCTAGTATTTATCTTCCACTGAAAGACACCTTTCTAAAACGTCACAAGATGTCATGAGTAACATTTGTGAGTAAATTATGTCAAAATGTGCTACCGACTGCCCAAAATAAATGAAAGACAAAAACAAACCACCAAGGACTCAAGCCAGATGCAGAAAGTAGTCCAAACTGTTCTAATTCCAAACCAACATCTGATCCTGGGCTTTGAGTCAAAAGTTGTGTAAAACTGTTCAGCCCTCCAATACCAAAAGTCCTAAATCTGACTGCAATTTTGAATTTGGTTACCTAAACTGACATGATTTAAATCAAGGCAAATGTGATATAACTCACCAGAGGCACCTCAGCCAGAAACACACAGCACAGATATTAAAAAGCACAAACGCAAACGAAGCCCACAGTTTAATCCCTTTCATTCTACAAACTGGGTAGAGCGAGGCTGACCATCCCAAGAGCAGCACTGTCTGCTCGTCAAGGTTAACGCAATGTTCCACCCAGCACAATGGTGAACTCATCTGTGAGATGGGACAGACCTACGCACACTGCAGATACACTCTGCTTTTTGTCAACGTCAGATTTTAAAAAACACACATTTACTTTTAAGAAATGTGCTAGGTATGAGTGAGTATTTTGCCGAGACGGTTAAGGTGAAGCAATGGAGCCATCGACGTATCTCCACAGGTGAGGTTCTGAGCACACGAAGCTTGTAGTAGTGCACCCACAGGAACACGCCTTGGAAAAACAAGTCTGCCATGTGTTTCATCGGGCACGCTACTGTTAAAATCTTGCATTTGTTTTCTTACACAGACTAATTCGGGGAGACAAAACAAAGCTGTGCAATTCAACAATGCGTTGTTAATATTCTACGAAGGCATTCTCTGATTCTCCAAAGAGCAACCTGACAGCATGAACCCTCCCATAAAAAGCAAATCCCACAGAAATGTGAAGTCATCAAAGTAGCCCTGGCTTATTCATTCTTTGCGGGAGAAACTGAAAAGCACAGATGAGATATCTCGTGTGTGTAATGTGAGTGTGGGGAACTAAACAGTACCAGCAACATGGCAAGAAATAAATAATGAAAGGTGTCTTTCTCACCTATTCAGTCCAACACCCTCTAGCAACACTCAGGAGTGAGCCTAGGCACACATCAGCACAACACAAACACACTAGGGTTGTTTATATTCCACCCTTCACTTTCACACGAGACACCAGCTAAGACGGTCAGTAATGACTCATCTAGACAAAAGTGGCAAGATCCACTCGGGGTATAGCTGGACACTGGCCACGACGGTAAACAAAGACAAACCACGGAGACATGAATGGGATTCGTTTACCACTCGCATTTCCGGAAACATTCTTACATTATTTATTTTCAGGGAGCTTTTTAAAATAACTATATATATATATATATA